AATACTGCAAATCATCCAGCACTCTAATAATTGTAATTGTATTTAAAATCTTAAAATTGACGGTATGTTTTTTAGAGTATTAGACCTTGCCTAGGTTTTTATCTCTTTAGTATGTAAAACCATGTGGAGTCCAGTAGCATAACTCTGAAGACCTAGACTAAAAGATACTGTTAAGGCAGCAAGGATACAAAACATTTCAGTATCTTTGTTGTGTTCCCTTAATATTTGAATGAAGATCAATGAAGCTGTCATATGGCAAGGACAATGGACATATTCATGGCAGTGTTTGTGAATGACAGAATTTCTTGTTTGGTGTTTTGTATTAAAGAAAAACTTGGTCACAGCTGCTTGAAAATGTTGTCAAAGCTCCACAGGCCAGTAAGGATAACCTTTGTTCATACTTGCTGTCACAAAACCACAGCCTTCCATAATCTAAACAAGGAGTTAAAGATGCAGTGAGGAAGGAATCAAATTTAGATTTGCTGTACAGGATTTGGCTGTTACGTACCTGTGATCCCAACAAGCTGCAGAAGTGCAACTGAGAGTGGAATTTCAGACCTTCTTGCACAAGATAAAACACTCATTATGACTACTGTGGCTGCCAGATTTCTCTACCTAAAAGCTGAAATTCCCTGAAATAAATCTCTCTGGCCTGAAAAAGGAGAATCTGGTATCAGAGTGAGCTAAGAAATTACTATCTGAAGAATGGATATAAGTAAAGATAAAGCAGAAGATATCCTCACATTTACTTTTATGTTCTATGTTTGCAAGAGCCAAACACTGAGAACTTACTAAGCAATATGATTAGGAACTTCTGGCAGTATGCTGAGAAACCAGCTATAATTACGTTCTCATGACACAAAGTTTGAATTCATAGCAGGCACATTAGATGTAATGATTCCTTATGTCAATATGGTATCACAAATACAAATTAGGAGGGAAAAAAGTGTAACACGCAGAAGATCTCTAATTGCTGTATTTGATTACTGGAAGATTTGCCACCACATAAGATTTCTCCTCTCTCTGAAGTGAAATCCAAGGAGAGATGCAAAGGATATGGGGAATTCTCTGATGGTCTTTTTCCCCTACAAACTGCTCCTAGCTAGGGGTTGCATAGCAAAGGAGGCAGTGAGAATGTGATAATGCTAAGGAGAACTGTGGGAACATTGAATTTCTTCTTTATTTCAGGAATTGGTGGGCTTTCTTTTCCATTAGAGCTCTTTTGTTCTGTGTTGATTAAATTTTGCTTTTTGGGAACATGACCATAGAGCAGAGCAGTCTTGGTGGCTGCTGAGCAGGAGGACCACGAGAACAGTGCTGGAGGAGGCACCCACTCATGGCAGGGTAGGAACAGTGGGAATTCACACCCAAAAAGGTGCTGACCACTGGCCACAGTGCTGTGCTCCATAGCAGGCACCAGGATGGGGCTGGAAGGAACTGCTGTGGCATCCATGCCCCTAAAACAGGTGTTGGAAACATGATGAATTTGCACTTCAGGGGTTGCTCCCTGGGGAGCACAGACAATTCCATCTGTGTCTAAGCCCTCACCTACAGCTCATCTCAGCTGCTTCTGCAGTGCTCAAAGAGATATGAAATGAAGCTGGAAGAATTATACAGGCTTCATATAGTGTTCAATAAATTTGTTTGCTTAACTAAAATGACATCCTTTAACCTTTAGTCATGCACACAGCTCTCTGCCATCAATGGCACAACTGTTACTGTGTACATTGCTCACTTCCCTACAGTGATTTGTATATAAAGAAGTTAAAGAGCTTGTAAGTCTGAAAAAAAGAAAAAGTATTAAAAATATATGTACTTCCTCACTCATGTCCTTACATCACAGGAAGCAGCTTCTGCCATCAATGGCACAGCAATTTGTATATACTGATTTGTATGTAAAGAAGTTAAAGGGCTTGTAAGTCTGAAAAAAAGAAAAAGGATTAAAAATATATGTACTTCCTCACTCATGTCCTTACATCACAGGAAGTGAAGTGAATTCCAAATCACCCCAGCCTAGCCAGTAATCAGGTTTCAGAAATACCTCGTGGAAGCTCAGTTTACCTTTGTGCCTGTAACAGAAGACTCCTGAAGACAGAGAAACTTTCATCATGTATAAATGACTAACAATTACATGGAAGCAAATGGAGGGCTTCAAAGCAGGATAGAAAAATGGAGGGAAATTCCATCCTATTAAGATAGGACATAATTGTCTTGTACAGGAAATAAACACTATATTTTTAGCAGGTGACTAGTCAGATAGAATCAGTACAGGGTTATGATTGTGTAGTGATTTCTCACCAAATTGCAGCCTATCTCCCTAGAGAGATGACAGATCTTAGTATTTTCTTATAATTAGTTTTCTATGTAGGGTCTTAAATGGGAAATGGAAACATGAGAGCTCCCGAAGCAGGCTGCATTTCATAGACTATTACCATTCATATTTCATCTTTTACAATTAATTCAAAGATTTGTAGGTACCTCATAATGGTATGTTACTACACCAAGTTAGTACCGTCATAAAATTTCAGTAATACCAGAATCTTCCAAACTTCAGACTTGGCAATTCCCTGCTCATTCCAATTTTTGGCCACTGCATTCCATGAGCCAACACACACTGCTGTTATTGAAACCAACCTATGCTATTTACATATCAAATAGATAGAAAATCTGGATTGCTGTAAACAATAAATTCACATCCAAGCTGAAAACACAATATTATGATTAATAGTTATAAACTGAACTTGCAAATGCATATGAATATATTTAAAGAAATTATTAAAATCATAGGTAAAAGAACAATACTTAAAGGAGATTGGGACAAAATTCAATAATGTATCTTCATTAAATATTTCTGGGCATAGATTACTTGTTGATAACATTTTCTACCTTGCTCTGTAAAGGGGATGAAAATCAAGGAACTAATGGCCACCATATCTGGGTAGATGTTTGGGTTTGATGAACAAAACATTGTAATGCAACATGGAACTTAAAGGCATCAAAGTAACTTAATCCACCACAGAACAAGTACTAAATTTCTACTGCATTTATCCAGTGATAAACCAGAAATATTCTACAATATTTGCATTGATTTTTGGGATAAAGTAGTCCAGAGCCCCCTTTATCATGGTTGGAAGTGTTTTTCTCTGGCCAGTCTGAATGTGATCAGACTGTTCTTCCAAAGAAGAAAGTGTTTCACTCAAGTGTAGTTAACTCTGAAACCTAAAGACAACAAAGTGATAAGCAGTGCTCCCTCCTTAACTTCTGACCACTTTAATATCCTGACAGCAGGACAGTTAATTTTTAACTCAACTACTATGCACTGAAAAGAGACTTACAGATCAAATCCTTCTTTGTGTATGAATAATATGATGCTTCTCTTCTAAATATGTGCTGTTTGTTCTGACTACAGCATTAAGTATTAAACACGTTCATCAATTATTAATATAAGCTTATTATCTTTCATTCTAAAGTATATTTAGTCTTTTTTTTATGAAGATTTCTAGCAAGAGATTCTAAAAACGTGATGGAATGCATGTCATTCCAAAATTAAGACATAGATGTATTAACTTCATTTTTAGGCATACCTTTGGTTAATGAATCTTGCTACTTCCTATTTACAGTACAATAGTATACAAACATTTTTAATGAAATCTACTGATCATAAAATCTATTTTGTGATGCCCAGTTCTGTGTGTATTGTGTATTTATGGATAATGGACTTTAAAATCTATTTCACTATGGAAGTCATTAATGAGAAGCTTGGCATGAAAGTAACTCCTCAACAAACACCAAATATCCCAACCATCTCACAGTTCTATTCAGGCTTTCTCCCATCAGGCAAAAAAATTGTCCCCATCTTCTTAGAAAGGTCCTGCTGCCCCAAGCCCTGCATAAATTTGAGGGAGCACCTCCTGTCCCCATGCTGGGAAAAGCCCAGTTCCTTTGCTGCCATGTCCCTGCTCACTAACTCCTGGCTCCTTCCACAGTCACATTTTTGATGACAGCCCTGAGGCAAAAGCCAGAGACTGTGAGGGAAAACCCTTCCACCTGGAGGGCTGGATCCACATCAACGAGATTTTTTTCACATCAGAATTTAAATAATTTATGGTTTCAATTTTTTATAACTTCAGCAGTGAGAGGCAGTGTTGGGAACCAACCCCCTCTGCTTCACCCCTTGTTTGCCGGGGTCACAGCAGACATTGCTGAGCTGTCAGTGTAAATCACAGCTGGCAGCACGTCAGTGCAGAATGCTTAAATGCGTGTGCAATTTCAAATACATAAATAATCCCACTGACTTTACTGGAGCACCAGAAAACATTCACCTAATATTCTTTTGTAACTTCTCAGGAGTGTTTGAGAAGCAGCACTTTGATCTTTATTAGCTGTCAAGTCCATGATGAGCCAAAGTACGTTCCTCAGCGGGCTGTGGAGACAGGCCTGGAAGCAGCTACGTCCTTCTGGAGTTTTATCTGAACATTTACAAACCAGAGCTGAGCTACAGTATTTCCCTTAAGTGTGTATTACTGCAGCTTTTTGGGAACAAGAACAATGCTAATGCTCTGTGCTGGCTGGTGACCAGGGGCTGAGGAGCTCCTACCAGGCTGTGCGCCCACACTGTGCCCCGGTATGCGAAGGGGCCTGCAATGGATTTACATGAAAACCCCTGAAACAGGAGATGTGTCCCACCTTTTTCCTTCCAGACAGAAGAAATGTGTCTGCATAAAACATTTTGAGCAGAAATTCACACAGTGCAAATCTCTTCAGCAGCTGACAGTCCCCTTGCATGACCTGGAGCAAGGCACAGTTCCTAGCACCGTGCACGCACAGAGATGTGGGACTTGCCCTAAGTGACACTCACAAACCTTCCCCTGACTAGAAGGCAGCGCCAGGACTTTTCCTGCCTTTGACTAAGAATGCCAGCAATTTCAGCTTGACACAGAGCTGGCCTGGCTGCTGGTCTACCACGCAAATCGTGGGCCAAAGATAAGATAAACACATACCGGTGTAGTCCTCGTAGCACTCACAAGTGTAGCCGCCCTCCCGGCTTCGGCAGAGCCCGTTGCTGCCGCAAGGGTTGGAGTAGCACAGATCGATTTCCGTCTCACAGTAGTCCCCGGTGAAGCCCGGCGGGCACCGGCACCGCAGCCCATTGATGGGGTGGATGGGGCGGAACAGGACCGTGTTGGAGCTGATGAACGGGGCCGAGCTGTCAAACTTCAGGACGGAGACACACTTCATGTAGTTCTCACAGGGCTCACGCAAGCAGATGTTGTCGTCGAAAGGCAGCACCCTCTGTGTGGAAATCGTGGTCAGCAGCGTCCTGTTGAGGTAGATCTGCTCCTGCAGGTCCTCCGAGGGGAAGAACTTGTTTCGAATGCCACCAGGGAGCAAGGCTGAGAAGGTCACGTTCAGGATATTGGAGCTGACATCCGTGTCGTTTTGGATGTTGAAAACAAAGATGCCGTCCTTGGCAGTGGAGAGCACGGTTGCCACCCCCTCCACAAAGAGGGACAGGAGGGGAGAAAGGAACCTCTCCTGGGACATGTTCTCCAGCCGCACTGTGATGCTGTTGGTGAGCATGTCGTCCGTGATGATGGTGACACGCAGGGTGCAGACTGCAGTGACACTGTGAACACCATCTGAAGGGAAGAGAGAAAAATAACAGTGATGTCAGAGAGCTTCAGAGGCTTCAACCTACAGACAGGGAGGCTCCCTCCGTCTCCTGAAAACGAAACAGACCTGCAAGGCACTCAGTTCTGGGCACCAGGATGAGAGAGGGAAATGTATCCACCTTCTACAGTTATTACCATTGCTTTTTCTCAGGAAAACAAAATAAAATTTCTTAAGAATTGTAACTCAAAGGACCCTGGACATCTCAAAGAGGCAAGAACACCTGGAGAAGACACTAGGCAAGGGTTAGTGTGTAATAACTAGCAAGGGTTAGTGTGTAAACAGTCTGGGGGTTCTATGATGGCCAAGGGACACCAAGAGGAAGGTGTCTCTCATGACAGTGACCGCTACTCTACAGCTGGTGCTGGGAAGCTGCTGCTTTTCACAGCACAATACCAAAATTATCTTCTTCAGGTGTGGTCTCAGGCTTAAGGAGCCAGAACTCTGAACAGAGAATTGTGACCAGAGCTTCAGATAAGTAATTTAAGGAAACAAGTCTTCACATTTGAGTGCCAGAACTTCTTCATTTTTCACATGTAACTTCTTACAAATATTTTATGAATATTAGAAAAATTTAAATAAAATATGCTTGTAGTGAAAAGCAGACATTTAAAAACTCTTCAATTTTTTCCTTCCTTTAAGGCGTTTCTGATATTGCTGTGCCTGTTCTGCAATAAAACCCATGATTATAAAAATATAGCACTAATACCCGACACTGGACTGAGAGTTGCCACTGTAAAATTTCAGCACACCCTGAGGCTTACAGCAGTACTGTGAATGTACGAATTCTATATTATTCTGACATTATGGAAAATAATTATGACACAATGAGTGCTAAATTTAATCTAACTTCAATGCATGTATGGAATGGGAGTTGCATCATCACTGAAATCAAATAACTTACTTTAAATGTGTCTCCTTGCTAACATTAGGGACTCATTAAAATACAGATTGCATTACAGAAAATATGGTTAGCATTAGAGCAGCATCTAGAAATCCCAGATGAGATCAAGAGTGGCTTCCGGTAGGAAATGTTCCTTCTGAAAGATCTCACAGTGCAAACAAACAACCTTAAATGGGCATGAGTTCATCTCACGAGAGAGATGAACTGGTGTGAGTGGCCAATATGAGCCCCAGAGTGGGGTTAAGAACTGAGCCCAGTTTCCTTAGGCCACAGCTCAGTGTCACAGCCTTGGTCTGAAGTATCCCAGTGAAAATAATTACACAAGTAACCTGCTATTAAGACTGATTTCAGTTAAACCACAAGGTACGTGCAGAAATGGATTTTGAATCACATCAATGATTGTAAATTGCATCAGGAACTGTGTTTAAATCAATTAGAGTGAGATCAAAATTCTAACAGCATAGACTGCTAAATGTCATTTTGCTAAGGTTTGTTATCTCTAAGTGTAACTTTATGACCCATTACGGTCACGCAGAAATAGAACAGAAAAAACTGGAATTATTTCTTTCCTACTCACTGTCACCACTCCATCTCAAGTGTGGTTTTGTTTTAAAAAGAAATGTATTGTTGGAAGATTTTTCCTCCAGTTTTATCACAGCAATATAGTAAATCACAGCAGCATAATTAACAAAATGGCTTTTGACTCCCTCCTCCTATCAGGTTGTCTGTAAAAGCTCAGCTGTTGACTTTTTCCCCACTGAAGCAGCTTTTATGCAAATAGAAAAATGTTTTCTTCTGTGTGCTACTTTAACTACTGCCTGGCTAAAACCAATCAGCCAGGAGGGGACATTGTCTGGAGTGATCTGTTTGACTTCTCCCAGGTAACAAGAGACAAGACAAGAGGAAATGGTCCCAGGTTGCTCCAGGGGAGGCTTAGATTAAGTATGAGGAAGAATTTCTCCACCACAAGGGTGCTCAGGCATTGGAACAGGCAGCCCAGGGAAGTGGTGGAGTCACCATTCCTGGAGGTGTTTAAAAGATGTGTGGATGTGGCCCTTGGGGACATGGTTAGATGGTGGGCTTAGCAAAGCTGGGTTAATGGTTGGACTCAATGATCTTAAAAGCCTTTTCCAAAATAAAAAATCATATTATTCTGTGATTCTGTGTTCCCATCACAGAAGCTCACATACCAGCTTTCATTTTCTCCCAGGTTTGCAAAAATCTTTATCTTCTCTTCCTCAGACTCATGCTAGAAATCTGTACTATCAGCTTCCATCAAGACCCAAAGCAACCTTTACAAATTATTGGTAGCCAAAATCATCATTGCAAACTCCTCCTCTATGGTATGTGGATTTCTGGTCAACAGATAACACAGGATAGAATATTTTCATAAATGACATCCTCAGACTAGTTTACCCATGTCTATCATTTGCACAGCTCATTCCCCTGAAAGGCCAGAACAAACTATTCACTTTTTTTTTTTTTTCCTAAAGCAATTGACATTTGCCTGTTTGTCCCATAGGGTGCCTGAACTATTTTGCTATTTGTTGCACAATATGCTACAGAAGTTCCCTCATACCAGCCAGAGTGCTGGACAATGGGTCCTTTTTTTAAGACAACACTATGATCTATAGCCCGTGGTATGTATAGTAAGAAGACAAAATACGATCCACTGTCTGACAATGCAGTAGAGTCTACAAACTGTCATAATCAATATCAACTGTCACAATATGCAAGAGCTTCCCAGCATTCACAACAGCTATTCTGACACAGTTAATAAATCACTGGAGAAAAGCCTGGTGTCAGATACCACACAGCCTCCTTGTTCCATGGGCAGCACAAAAGAAAACTGGGCACAGACATATAGCTGCAAAATGAAGTTGTGTTTTAAAAGCCAGCTCAGCTTTGTGCAACCCTGTTGCAGAGCATTAAAATAAAAAGAGAGTAAAAAAGGAGCCGAGCATGTGTGCTATAGGCAACAAAAGAATGGCACAGCCATAGAACTGGCTGGACAAGCGCCTCTTTCATATCTCAGTCAGGCTGAGAGCAGCATCACAGGATCTGATCAGCTATTCATTCAGAAACTCAAGGAAAGTTGAAACAATCTGTGGTTTTATGAGACCAAATTAGTATCTATTCTATTTTCAACAGACAACATTGGCTTTGAGGTTGGGAACAACTGCAATAAAGAAAGTGGAATTTTTTTTGTCTTTTTTGGGAAATGACTTAAGCCCTAAATACCCAGTAATGTATGTGTTTTGGGATTTACAACTGAAATACTACATGAATGTTTAAAAGGTTTCCTGTCAGATATGCCAGAGAATTATCATTAGGAAGTACTGTTTTGTGGAGTGGCCATACTTCATGGCCTTCAGTGTTTGGGATGCCCACCATATGCAGCTGCCAATCTGCTAAAAAGGCTAAAAAACCATCTGAGCTTCCAAAGGTCTTATGATACAGTCCCTATCATGTTTATGGCAGGTGCAAGATGGTTTCAGTCAGGGGTGTGAAACAACCTTCAAGTTGCTACGCTGGAAAATTCTGGCTGCACTTTACTCTTTGGAGCAGATCTTGGAACAGATGAGTGCACACACATTGCCCAGACTTAGCTGCCACCAGTTCTCACAGCCATCATGTGGGGGCTTCAGCAAACCTGCTGGATGCAGGAGTCTTTCTGAAGGAGCTCTAAACACTCAGATCATGCTGGCAGATGGGATGTGCAGGCACCCTGCTAAGAGCGATTTGAGCAGACAGCCCGGATCTTAGCAGCCCAAGCCACCCAGACAGCCTGAGGAAAGGGAAACACAGGACAGACCAAAGAAAGAAAAAGGATTCAACAAATCCTTTGTTGGCTTGGCTCCTAAAATCCCTGTACCAATGGATTTTGTCACTTGGTCCTCAAGTTTCTCTCCCATAAAGTAGGGATAATAGCACTTAACATGTACACTGTGAAGTAGAGGGTACAGATGATGAAAGGTTGAGACACTGGGGTAACAACAAAAGCTATACAAATGTCCTTAAGAAATTATAAAAGGTTCTTTTAAGAGCTGTTGCAGCCAAGTTTATCAAAAACAAGGTGGAAAGATTAAAATAAGACTCTTACTGTCTCAGAGATCCATGAACAAATGAAGGGAATTCTGAACAGCCTGGCGGCTACGCCAAAAATGTGTTAATTACAAATGTGGTCCCTGCACACTCAATTTTTATTCTGACAATATTATTCTATGTATAATTTCCACAAAAGTGCTCTCTACAAGGTGGAAGTCAAAGCACACTGTTGTCTTTTGAGTCATTGTCATTGCTGAAGAGGAGACTTAAAACTAGAATTACGCATCTTCATCCTTCATCAAATTAATGAAAAGATCTAATAGCAGACACATACCCTGATGCATTACAAAGAAAAGAGAAGACAAGAAAGGCTGATGAAAGCTTGATGCTCTCTAAAACACATTAATAACTAGAAAATTGACTAAATAGGCATTGTTCCGTTATTACCTTTCCTTTACAACAAACCTTATCAAATCTGATACTTTAATCTCAGCTTTCTATCTTCTGTCAGTCCATAAACCAAAGAATTTTATTATCTACAAATGTAAACACAGCAAAGTTTAACTGAAATGCATATTTGGCAATGGCAGCACCTGGCCAGAAAGGTTCTTTTGTTTCTTTTTTAAGTTTGCAGAAATAAAATAATTAACACTATTTTTAGCTTATTACATACAAAGGTCCTAGTACCAATTTTGAAGGCTGCATACTTTAGCATCAGAGCTTTCTTTCACAGATATACCAACCCAAATTCATTCTAATTTTGCTTTATAGCACAGCTGGAAATAGCAGATGCCAGTTTTTACAACAGCCATGCAAAATCCTTGGCTACTTGAAATCCACAGGTTGAAGTAACCTCTTGCTCTTCCCAAATCATAAGAAGCAGCCGTGGCCACGGGTAGCAGCCATGGTAACAGCCTTGGAATGATCAAAGCTGCATTCCCATTGCTTCCAGCTATGTCTTCACATACAGGAGTTAATACACACCCAGTCCAGCACTAAAGCTGGAATTATGATGCT